TACACAGCCTCAGGCTTCTTTTTGGCAACGCAGTATCAGAGTATGTCATTTTTTTTAAGTAGGTTCCATGCCTAGTGTGCAGAGCCCAGTGTGGGGCTCGAACTCACAACCCTGAGATCAAGACCTGAGCTGAGATAAAGAGTCAGATGCTTAATCGACTGAGCCACCCAGGCGCCCCATATCATTACTTTTTAATATAAAAATGATTGGTCCTTAAACAATGTTAAAAAGACAACCAAAATCCTTCATTCTGGTTATTAAAAAAAAAAAAGAAAATTCTGTTTGGAAATCCTAAAGAAGAAATTCCACAAGTACTTACTTCAGTTGTTGTAATATTTAAATTTCCTAGCCATTAAGAAGTTCTCTTTGTATCTTACCTAAATACAGAACTCTTTGTTATATTTCTGAGTCGTCTCTGAAAATCAAGGTCAGTTGGTCATGGTGTCAGTTTCACATTAATTAATGAATCCCTGCTTAATATAAAGCCATTTTGGAAAGCTTCAAGCTGCATTCTATGAGGATGGATCTAAAACTTGTTTAGTGTCTTTTCTCCAGATGTCCATGAAAAAAAATTACCTTTTCCAAGTTGTTATCCTTCTTTACTGGCCCAATCAGAATAAAGACAGCATTCAGGCTAGGCGCCTTCATACTTTCAGAAGCAGTTTTTCTTAGATTAGGATGAGCAGTATCTTTCAGCCTGAGTACCATCAGAAAGTGTAACCCCAAGAGGAGAGAAGAAAGAGCAAGTAAGGGGAGAGGAAAAGAAGCTGGCTATCACTGGAAGAAAGAGGAAAGGAAGGTCAAGAAAAGATGGAAAGAGAAATGGGGAGCACAAGAGTAGACTCAGCAGTGCTAGAGGAAAGCCCACAGCGATGTCGGCTGCCAGCCGGTGCCTCCTGGAGCAGATAGCAAGCCTAGGGAGGAGGGGGAGGGGAGGTCACTGGCGGATAGGGCCTACTTGGTCCTCTTGCTCTGCCTGGGTTGCCTTGCTCACATTGGGGCCCATCCGCATTTGAAGCATTGTGTTGGTCATTATCTACCTGTTAAAGACTCTGGCAGAAAATTGTGAGGGCTTTCAAAGCAGCACAAAACCAAAGAACCTCATTCTTAGATTCCTTAGTTGAGCGAGTTCACAGAAACCAGTAAAGGAATACACCTTGTCTGTCTCATGAAGGGCCTCTCAAACTTTTCTACCCAAGTACTTCTGTCTGTAGAAGTGATACGAGATGGCTGCCCTAGGGGACAAGTGAAATGTGATCCTGAAGTTTCTCCGAAGTCTTTTTATCTTGGAAGTCTATGCAAATTTTATATTCTGGTCCATAATAGATCTGTGTTTCCTTTACTAGTAAAACAATATCCCAGCCACTCCCACAAATATGAAAATCTTTGATGCTCAGGAAGATGGACTGTGCTAACCCCGTAGCTTCAAGGACCACCCAGCCCTCCCTTGCCCCCAGCAGTGATACATTTCACCTGGTGCACATTCCCAGCAGTGATACGGGAGAATAGGCATAACATGCAGCCTTTGAGGGGCGAGGCTACACTGGGGATGACACCTTGGATCTTTCACTGAATAGAACAGTGCCTTTATAAATTACGTTAGCCATTGGTTATCTTACATAGACTGTAATAGTGTACAGATTATACAGAATATAGAATTGAGCCCTCTGCTCAATTCTAATAGGAAATTTGGGGGGTGGCTCTAGTCTAGAGCTCCTCAGGGCATTGTTGTTAGACCCTATAAAACATCTCGTTAATTTTCACAATTTTCTCTGAGCTGACTGGGTCAGATGTTCCTCTTTCTTGGGCACACAAACGCAATATTCTCTCTCCTCCATAAGGTTGCTTGGGAATTTTAAATAATTCATGTAAAATGTTAAATAGTTCCTTACATATTGGAAGCTGTCAAAAATGTTAGCAGCTGGCTTATTGTTGCAACTCTGATTGCAATGCATGCCTAGTGTGAGCAAAGCAGTAGTCCTACATGGACAGGGAGAGACTTCATGGCTGGTCAGTCATTTTGGGTCTTGAGCTGTGAACTGATTTCTCCTTAGTGAAACTAAGAAATATGTACTTACTACTATATGATGAGTAAAGAAAATAGAATAACAAATTCTTGAGCAAAAAGATATTAAAAAAATAAAACCATTAACTATGCTAGTGGGAAAGCTTGATCTTAGTTTCACATGGTTTAGCAATGTGGCCAGGTAATGGCGTTCCGTGGAGGAACAAGGCCTAGCATGGTGCCTAGTTTGTGCTGCTTATGTATGTTGGTTGAATGAATATGATAGGTTGAGACCTGAATATATACATTCCTGAATAAGCAAGGCATTAAGTGTTATTTAATGCTCAGTGAGAAGCCATTTCAGAATTTTGAAACCGGGAAATGATGTAATCCATTGCTTGGTTTAGACTGGAAGGAAATGTGCAAGAAATTATATTTGATGACTGGACTGTGATCACTTTTTTTTACTTTTCTGAAGTTTCTAAGAACTTAGACCCTTCCTAAAGTTTTTTAGAGCACACTTCCGAAGGTGACAGTGCCTCGCTGTGGGGAGGTTAGGATGGCGGTGGGGACAGTGAATTTGAATCTGGGAAGGGCAGCATAAGTACTTTGAATGAGCGCTCCCAAAGAGTTGTCCTTCAAGAGAATCACTATTTTAGGAAATCCTTGAGTATAAAGTCGTAGAAGTTAGAGCTAAATTTAACTGAGAGGCCCTCAGGTATAACCCTTTTACAACCCTCTGTTACAGATGAGATCCAGTGGATTCCTCAGGGCCCTTCGCCCAAGCCTCCTGATTTCCAGTCCTGGTTGCGCTCTCATATATAATACCTTATGTTTGTGGGGAGAGGGTGGAGGCAGACTCTTAGGGAAGATTGGCCAGCATAGCTTCATCTTCCTGCTCAAGCACACCCGAATGTTTTCCTGTCTTCTTGCTATCTGTTTAAAAAAATGCGCCCCCTAGCTATTCATGTAGGTTCATAAGTATAAGGATGAAAATAAACATCTCATCCCCTCAGAGGCAAATCACTAAAATATTTTGTCATCTTTTCTCACCAGTCTTTTTTTTAAATAGATATTTCTAAAATTAGAATTCTCTTGTTTTATACCGTTTTTTTAATTTAATATACCCATTTACTTATATACTTAAACTTTATATGAGTACATCATTTAAAATGCTTACGTAGTAATACTCCATCATATTGATGTGTGTGTGTACATAGACACACACATACAAATATATATACAATGTATATATAATTAAATTTCTATCGTCAGGTCTCAGTTTTTTCTTTTTTTTTTTTTTTAAGATTTTATTTATTTATTTATTTGACAGAGAGAGACACAGCGAGAGAGGGAACACAAGCAGGGGGAGTGGGAGAGGGAGAAGCAGGCTTCCCATGGATCAGGGAGCCCGATGCAGGGGGAGTGGGAGAGGGAGAAGCAGACCCCCCGCAGAGCAGGGAACCTGATGTGGGTCTCGATCCCAGGATTCCGGGATCATGACCTGAGCCGAAGGCAGACGCTTAACGACTGAGCCACCCAGGCGCCCCAGGTCTCAGTTTTTCAAATAAGCTGCTACTTTATAAACACACATGACTTCAGCAGGCTTAGGAGACTTTTGGTTATTCACACAGTAGTTTGAGTGGTTAAAAATCTATGTTTTCTTTTTACCACCTGGCTGAGAGCAGAGAGAATGGAGGTTGTGATTTGGCCTAGAGCACATCCTGGGAGGAAAGACTGGGTGGGGCTAGTGTGGAGGGATGTAGTTCTTCACGGGCTGCTTGAGTTCCAGAAGAGGGTAGGTACCGGGATATGGAAGATGGTACTGAGTAGGAGGAATTTCAGTATTTCCATAGGAATGGCTCTGTTTTCTTTTTCTGGTCCACATGACCTTTGCTCCAAGACTTAAAGCTCAGGCTGTTTTCTGAGTTTCGTGGTTCTTCTATGCAGTAGATTTACGAAGTATTGGTTAAAAGGTTGGGGACGTAAGCACCACTTCAGTTATTTCCAATTTCTGACCTAACTACTTAAAAATTTTTGAACATTATTTTTATGAATCGTGGGTTACCCTGCACCCAAATATTAAGTGTGTTGTGTCAGCCAAATGGAAGTGAAAGGGTAGACATTGACTGGCTTAGTGACTAATCAAATATCGTTAGGAAAGGACAAGAAGGCATCAAATAGATGTAAGAGCCTAAAAGCCTCAGAACTGGTAAAATCAGTGTTGCTAATTTGTGGAGAAACCTGGAAGATGACACCTGAAAACTCATATTGCATTTTGGGAACTCGTGCTGGTGAAAGATAGGGCTAACACAGATAAAATTGTGATTTGTAGATATTCTAAACACCCTTATCTTAGCCAGTAGTTTCAGTTAGGGCTTAAAACAACATATCTGTTTGTACTTCTAAATATCAAAATGGGTAAATTTGCATTTCACATGCTCCTCCTTTGGTTGAAAACAATTGATTATATAGGAGAGGGATGGTATTATAAATCAGGTTTTAGTTCTGCTGCTGATTTACTATATGACATTGGACAAGGCATTTCACCTCTCTGGCTTCTAATCTGTAATTAAAAGGATAATTACTGGTTTAAGTAATTTTTGAAGTTCCTTCTGAACCTAGAGTCTTTATTTCTAAAACAAAAAATGACCCCTGAGGTAGCGTTGGCTATACTTTCTTGAATTTGAAAAATTAAGCAAAATGCTGATCTGGTAGATTCGTATAACTTTTAAGTGTAGCTTCTTGAAGGTGTCCCTCTATCAACTAAAGAACAAATGTCTCAGTTTAATATATGACTGCATCAAAAAAAAAAAAAAATGCAACCACAGTAGGTGACCAAAGGGGATAAGTAACTTTCAGGAATTTTGAAAGCCCAGTAGTATTTAGTATATGCTCTCTCAGCATTAAAAAGGTCACCTTGCTAATACATGTTAATTTTGAAAGTTGAATTGACCTTTGGAATTTTAATATCAACCTTTTTTGGTGTGTTTAGAGGTTGGAGCAATCACAGAAGAAACAGAAGCCTGTGATTGGTGGAGTTTGGGTGCTGTCCTCTTTGAACTTCTCACTGGCAAGGTAAGCAGTGACCTGGACGTTTAATAAGTTTACCCAGATGCTACCTTGATTTCAAATTGAGAACATTTAACCTTTGCTTTAGTTGTTAGATCAGAAACGAAATAAGAAAACCTTTGATTTTTTTTTTTTTTTAAAGCAGAAAAATGCAAGTTTATCTAGATTCCAGATTTTTTTTTAAGTATTATATTGGACAAATAATAAAATTCCGTTATGTCATAATGTTAGCACGTAGATATATGACAAAACATTCTTTTTCTTCATTTTCTATGATTCAGTTTTAACAGCATTAAATCTGTAATGTTCATGTAAGAGGATGTACTAGGATTCTCTGGATGTTTTAAACATCTTGTTGGAAAGCAGGAGGGAATTCTCATTTTAGAAAATTAATGTAGATATAAAAGGTAACATTACCTTTTTTCTCAAAACTGTAAATTTTTCCTATCTGTTCTAGCTTAAGGACAGAATTTATACTCTCTCTGATCAATAACTTAAGTAAGATGTTTGAGGTTAATAGACTTTAATAGAGTATTGTGCACATTGCCTCCTGGGAAGAAAACAGAGGAAATGAGCAGTCCTACTTTTGTAAGTAGTCATCTACCTTGAATATGTAGGTAATACTGAACTCTTAAGATTGTTGTGGATTATTATAGTTCACCTACATGTACAATTAAATCATAAAGTGCTACAAATATATAAAGTGTTATTATTAACCAATTCTAAACTGAGAAGGTTTTTCAGAACATTAAAAATTCAGAGATACCAAGTCCCTTTTTAGTTTTTGTGTGTAAGGTAAACTTTTCTGTTATGAGCCATTCCCTGTATAACTAAGGGAAGAGGGCTAGCAGCATAAAGCTTATCGTGTGATTTTGATGATTGCCTTCATTTCAGTTAGAAGTTCTGTAGGCTCGTGGCCCTTGGCCTGAACCGCTTAGGAGATACTGTGTTGATTACTACACCTCCAGTTAAGATGGTTGTTGAGCTTTCTATACTTGCTGTCCATAAATCCTGTGATAGAACAGAATATGATGTTATTTGGGATAAGAAGTGTACCTGATTGATTATTTCAGACTCTGGTTGAGTGCCATCCAGCAGGAATAAATACTCACACTACTTTGAACATGCCAGAATGTGTCTCTGAAGAGGCTCGCTCACTCATACAACAGGTAATTTAATTGACCTCTACTGGCCAAGTATATCAGCCATGCAAATTAGCAGAGTCCATAGTTATAAAACCTTAAAGATACTAGTTTGGGACAAGAAAGACTCGTTACTAATTACAGATTCAGAACTCATACTGTGTATGGTTAGGCTTCTGCTATTATTTAAGTATTAGTGAGGTCAGAGAGAACAGGTAAAGCTTATTGGTGTTTAAGTCTTTTTTTTTTTTTTTTTTCCAAAATCCAGGCTAATGTTTAGTCAATTTCACATGTTTGTGTAGGTATGAGATTTAAGTATCGTTTTTAGCTTGTCTGGAGCTGCTCTGTTTCTGCTATTACATTTTGTAACCATGTACGATGGCTGTTTTCTTTCTTTCTTTCTTTTTTTTGACTGGATATTTTCAATCTTTAATTCATATTTAGAAACTTAGGAATAGGCTACTCAGGTTGCTTTGGAGAAAAGTGGTGTTAGAAAATCTTGCCAAGTTAGATTACTCCTAGCTTCATCCATTGATGCAAGTTGAACATTGATGTCAGTTAGTGCATTTTCGGTGGCTTTAAAGAAAGAGACTATTGATAATTAAAGTTCAGTATCCCAGAGGTAGGCTTAGAACTCCAGTGAGCTTCTTAAATTGATTCCTCACATTTAAAATGCTCCTCTAATTTTGAATAGTGAGTTTTGGAGAGGGTTCTCAGCATTGGGGAATGATAGACTCACAGCAATCAGCAAGAATTGTCAGGCCTAGGATCCTTATAGTTTTATGAGAAACATAAAGGGAAAAGGTGATTTGAAAAAGATCAATAACTAACATTTTTGTTTCATGAAACCCGAATTATTTTTTTTTTTTAAGAAAGGGGGAGGGAGGAATATACTAAGAAGAGAATTACCTAGTATTCTCTTGAAGTGTGATTTGGGTTCCATTCAACAAATACATGCACAAATATATGCAAGACATAGTGCTGTAAGCTATGAGGGTAAGACTCACAAATAACTATATCACGGATGGATTGGATCAAAGCTGTCAGAAGCTTAAAAACTACTCTGGCAAGTCAAGATAAGGAGGGGCTATAGTTGATGCAGTGATAGTATTAGGAAAGGTTTTGTGTAGTGGATGTTATTTTTGTGCAGCTCTAGAATTTTGGTGTGACAAGGTAGGATGTGGCAGAAATAGCTAGGTGGAATGAACAGCTTGAAAGAGGTAAGGAGTCCAAAAGACCCAAATTAGGAAATCAAAAGTTTGGTTTATCTGGAGTGGAGGAGTGAATATAGGAATGAGTAATAGTAGTAGATGGGTGTGGAAAGGTAAGTTGGAATTCTCTTATGAGGTTCTGTTATCATGATCACCAGGGAAGAGTGATCATACTTAATTCAGTTAAAAAAAAAAAAAGGATATTTGGAGTTTTTGTGTAGAAGAATGAAAGGATCAGAGCTTTAGGAAGATTAAAATTTCCCAGAGAATGTAAAACGTAAAGAAACATAACCAGGTTGGAAATAATGAGATGAGAATACCCTTGAGCACTTTGCAAAAGGATTAAGAGGTAATGCAAAGATATAGAACACGTTTCATTCTAATGGGAAAAAAAGGACAGCTACTCATTTGATTTCATCTTACTTGTTGTGGCACAACAAGATAAATTCCAAGTATTTTTTTGGTAAATAATTTGAGGAAGGCTAGCAAATGCTTTTTGTTTGTTTGTTTCCCTCCTTAAAGTCCTTATTATGTAAAACTGAGAATAGAATTACCTACACAATTTATAAAGGCCCGCTGCTCCTATCTTTATTAGAAATTATGTTATGAAGGAATCTTGGCTTAAAGTTTGTCAAATTCTCCGATACAGATACTTACATATTATATAGTAAATCAGCTTTCTGTCATTGGCCTGCCTAAGGAAACTACCACTCATGTTGAGGAAACATCATCAGGAAAGGGAAAAGGGGTCTCTTGGCATGATTAGCAATTTGTCATTTTGACTTTCCTCTTCCACTACCTCACAGGTCATAGGGGTCTTTTTTTTAAAAATCACAAAATGATTTATATGGAAATAATTATTCTGCTTTGGGGAGATTTCCCCCTCTTCTGTCTTTCAGCTCCTTGCTTTCTTCCTAGATTTCATAATCCCCTGTACCCATGGTTCAGTCATCTCAGTCATGTGAATGGTGCTAAAGTAGACATAGTTACATTTTAAATGCAATTAAAAGAAAGATGCTTACATTTTACAAATCCTCAGAGCATGTATATTTGTACTTCACAAATTGTGACACAATTGTTTTGTTAGTTGAAAAATACTATATGAGAAAAAGACCTTCAAAACAAATCTTTATGTCTTCATTGCTCCCAGCTTTATTGCCTGAATATTCTTCAGGAGAAGGGACGTTGGCAGTGACTAATTTGGTTTTGTCACTGGCTGCTGACACATTTGCTTAAGCAATAGAATCCTTGTGTGGTCTCTCTTGAGGCCTGGTATAGTATTTAAAATGGCAGGGTAAACACGATAGTCATGGGTAAGACAATTATACTTTTGTCTGTAGATTTATAATTACAGATTTGTAGCAAAGTCCATGAACTAATTAAATTGACTTTAGTAAAAGTCAAAATAGGAACCTTTATTGGAATTTCATAATGAGGTCATGTTTTGGAAAGAATAGGGGTGGAAAAGCCAATTGTAACCAAGAAGAAAGAATTTTCTTTCTGTTCATATGTTTACTGAAATATTTAAAAATATGCTGTAGTTATATTTAATTCTTACCAGTGTTTGATATTTTAAATTTATATTAAATTGTTTGATGCCTTCCACATTTCAATCGGTTAGACATAAGTTGTCAGATTTCGAAAATGGATTTGATACATTTAGGATACTCTTACAATGTTTGTTTTATAATAGCAGCTTTTCACTTAACACCTTTTAGCAGTATCTAATATTAAAATTCTTTGAGCAGTTAACTTTAATAAACAATAGTCATTTTGAATGCTAGATACAATAATTTCAAGTGAAAAGATTGAGTACAGTCTTTTGAAGTATATGCTTCACACCTCTTGTGTATTTGGTAATATTAAAGTGAAGTGGTAGATTCTTGGCATTTGCAAAAGATTACATACTCATGAGGCAGTATAGTGTTATGTTTAAGAGCATGGATTCTGGAACCACAATGCCTAAATTCACATCTTATCTTTGCTACTTTCTACTTGTATGATCTTAAATAAGTTACTTAATTTCTCTGAGTCTCTGTTTTCTCATCTATAGAGCGAATAGAATAGTAGCTACTCATAGAGTTGTTGTGAATTAAATTAATTAAACTATGCTATGCACTTAGAATAATGCCTGGCACACAGTGAGTGTCACATAAATGTTTTATATCATTATTATTGATAGAGTAATACTGAAGGTTCATAATACATAGTAATTTGTATTTGATGAAGCATGTGTTGAATTATAGGGTTGCTATTGTAAGGGTGAGGCAACTGCTGGTGATATAGGTGAAAAGGTTGAAAAAAGTAGTGGACTGGCACATAATACGAAGTCAATTGATATTTTTCATACAAATAATTGAATTAATGAATCATAAATGAAAAAATAGAAATAAAGGTAAAAAGAGAAGAAACAAGTTTTGGTTGAATACATAGAAACATTAATGTAAAGAAATAATTTAAATATTTACTATAAGAATATTCTCAAATTCGAATGGCTGTTGTATAGTCATATAAGGAAGTTGGCAAATTCTCTCTTGAGAAAGGAAGTTATAACATTGGACAGAACTGGCAAAAACAACCATCTCAGTGCTTTGGAAATTGATCAAAGGGATACAACAATCTGAAAAGTGTTTATACTTGAAAAACAGCCAAACTTTGGGAAAGAAGAGTGGGACTCTGTGGCAGTTTTGCCTGGGCTGCTCCCATTCTCTTTTCTCTGCTTGGTCAGGTGTGAAGTTTCTTCCAGATTGAAGCAGGCCACGAGGACCAACCCTGAGGTTGCATGCCTGTGTATAGGAAAGTAAAAACCAGGGGGGATTTGTAAGTGGCCTAAATTTTTAGTGTGTTCTCCTATGCATTGGCAGAGGACAGAAGCTTTAGGGGCTGAGGTTTAATGTAACCTCTTTTCAGTCACAGATTGACCACTATGCTATGCACACACAGGGTGATCCCTAGGAAGTGAAGCTCAAAAATAAAAACAAGGAAAAAAGAGTGAGCAGAGATAGCAACAGTTGCTTGTTACAAAGTGATGGGAGGAGCAGATTTACAGATCTAGCTGAAATAAGTTACCAAACAAAGAACAAACCAGCCAACAGCAATGATAATAGTCTTCTTGGGGAAAAAAGTTGGACTCTAGAGTTGGTAAAATGTCATCCAAAATATCCCATTTTCAGCAAATATTATATGATATACACAGAAACAAAAAAATGTGACTCATATGCAGGGAAAAAAGCAGTCAGTAGAAATTGACTCTGAATGTCCCCAGGTTGAATTAAACAGACTTCAAAGTGGTTATTATAAATATGTTCAAAGAACTAAAAGGAAACCATGTTTAAAGAATTAAAGGAAAGTATGACAACAGTGAATCAGCAAATAGAAATTCTCATTGAGATATAAATTATATTTAAAAAAAAAACCAAATAGAAATTCTCAAGTTGAAAAAGACAATAATAACAATAATTATTGTTTCAGTAATTGAAATTCACTAGGGGGAAAGTTGATTAGAGCATCTCAACAGCAAATTTGAGATAGATGAGGGAAGAATCAATAAACTTGAAGATAGAATGACAGAAATGAACAAATCTGGGGGTGGGGGGAAAGACCAGAAAAAAGAAAAATGAACAGGGCTACACAAACCTGTAAGATAATATCAAATGTACCAACGAGTCCCAGAAAAGGAAAGAGAGAAAGGGGGAGCAAAAGTATTTGAAAAAGTAATGGCTAAAAAAACACCCTAAATGTGATGAAGAACATTGATAGGCATCCAAGAAGCTCAGTGGACTTTAATTAGGAAAATACACCTAGTCATATTGTTGA